AGGATTCCACAGAGTATCGCGAATCTGTGTGCGGTTCCTTTTTGCCAGCAAGTGGTGGTTGGCTTTGTTGCAGCACACCAAAGACAAAGAGCTCTGCGCTGCGCAGGTATAACAGGACATGACCGACCAGAAAAAGCAGTGCTTGGCCCAGATCAATTCAACATCTCAATCTCCAGACCAGCATCATAATTATCGGAAGTGTTTGCTAACTCCAGCTGTTTTCAATGTTTGCGGACAAAACCAGATGTTTTGCTTTGGCATGAGCTGTTCAGAAACTTTGAATTTCAAGGGAACGGTCTTTGCCAAGCATGAGTTGATCAACATCCGTGAACTGGATGTGACAGGTGGTTGTCACGCATTGGTTGTTCAATATCTTTGACGAGGCAAACGGTGTCAGTTGTCCGTTGACCTTCTTCATACTTGAACTTGGTGTTTGTGAATCGATGAAGCCTTGTGGTTTGAATATCTGTAACCATTGTAATTCAACAGCCCCAGCATCGTAGCCCGGAGTCGACGGAGTTGACCATGATGAGTTTGTTTCAAACTGCCCGGAGGACTTGACGGCAGAACTGCTGTTGAGATCAAGTCCACAACTGAAAATTGGCTAGCCCGATACCCAGCGATTTTTTGTAATTCATGTAATACATGCCTTGTAACAAATATTCTTTTTGGAGGTATAGTTACCTAGTTTTCTGACACAGCTACATGGTTCCACCCATGTCCAGCATCTCAATGCAGGACTTGCAACGCTTTCGATGATGCAGAGTGACCGTACTTGGTTGGGAACACAGGACCGGCAAGTAGTGGAAAAATGTAGAACGAGTATCAGCATTGCTGTGGATAGTTGCCATTGATTTGGTACAAGTGCACAAGTGTGGTGAGAAGCAATGATCAATAATCCATTCCTCGTGATAGCATAGTTTGATGATGCCGCACTGCTTTTGCTTTGAACCTCAGTGCCCTTAAGGTCTTCCTTCCTTGCTGAACTCATCAGCAGTACCGCCAGTGCTGGCAGCAGTTCCTCCTCAACGCTACATCGCCACAGGTGGGGCAAAAGACGGGAATCTTCATGGAGGATCCTCATGAGTTTGCTGGGCAGGCAAAACTGCATAATATTTATCATTCTGATTGCAGGTTCCATCTATTCCACCACAGAGTTGTAATCCTTAACGTGGTGCCAACGATTCCTGGCTTGTAGATGCCATGAATTCCCATGAACTCTGATTTCACTTGAGAGCACATATACTTGCGGATTCCGCCGATGAACCAAAGGTCCTTCAAAGATGTATATTCAAAGTTTATAGAATCGAACAAAGATTGCTACAAATAGCTGCGCAGTACTTGACTTTGGGAAGAGGCAGTGTAGCTGACTGGAGCGCACCACGGTGGCTGGAGACTCAGGGATTGTGAGATGGCATGTAGCCTACAATGGCAGTAGATGAGTGACTGCCGTCTTGAAAATAGGAATACAAAAAGCTTAGTTGCGTGTGCTCCAGTTGGTCTGAGTCTCCTTGATTGCTTGGATTTAAGGGCAATCTTGCTTGCTTGCCAACAACACATTTGGAAACAGCCTCAGAACCTTTGTGTCAGCAGAAAGACTCAAGCGTTTGTTTTTTGCTTGAAATGTTCATTTTTTTAGATTCAACCACTTCTGACACGACACGACCTTGTTCTTCTGCATATGGCATCTGCGCAGAAATACAACGACGTGTTTCAGCAGAAATCTGTTGTTCTTCCGGCGAAAATAAGTCATCTAGGGCGATGCCCCCACGGTGATACAGCAGTGATGCGGTGTCTGAAAATGAGATATACGGTTTACATCGGTTTAGCAAAAATAAATGACCATTTCTATAGCCAATGGTGAACCATCAAATTACGGCATATCGTATTTTCAACCCCACACGAAAGTTTGGAAAACTTGGTGCTGTTTGTTTTTGTCACCACTGTCACAATTAGTAGAGTTGTGGTGCAGGCTTGTAGTGGGGTGATCTTTTCTAAATTCCGCATGTGCTTCAGATGCCACTGACATCACTGGACTCGGAAAGCAAGAAAGCCTTGATGATAGTGATGGTGATAATATTGTGACGCTGCTGTTGCAGACAACGACTGTTGCTTGTCAATGTTGCTTACGAATAGTTCAGAAACACATCACAGAATTGCCAGCTCGTTTTTCTGACAAGGTACAAGTTCAGCACAAGCTTTTGTGGTTAGCTTTCCCTTTCAGCCACTGCCTCAGTTCTTCTGCTTCATGAAATGATGGCGACACTGGAGAGCATAGCCCCTGAAAATCATAGGTTTTAGACATTTTGGGAACATTGCCACAAAAACACATGGAGCAAGTCCGTGACATGTGAATAGTTCAAGACTCCAAACAGGGTCTCTGCTAAAAGAGGCTTACCGTTTTAGGCACCTGTTGAGATGTCAAGTTTGATCAAGCAGCTTTGATCCGTGGCCATTCTCGTTTTTCTTGTTTTCTCACGTGCCTGCGATGTTCAGATACTTTCCTTGGCTCCCATCCAACCCATTGTTGGACTCCCAGATTGCCGGCAACCCTACGATGGAAGTGATTTTAGATGTTTCATGGCCAGAAGTTCAACCCTTTTGGTGACAAAGTGCAATCCCCATGCGAGAAGCCAGGCCCGAGGATGCATTCCTTCACCTGTGAAGGGACGGAATAGATTTCATCAGGGCCTTCGGACAACTTTGAAACTTGAAGTGTAGATGTTAGTTGAGCGCCGCGCGGCAACTTGAAACTTCAACGGTAAACCTAGGACTTAGATGGACTGAGTAACTGAGGTGGCCCAAAGCAATGAACTCCCGGTGTCATTATTGTGCGAAGAGGCATCGTGCTTTGAGCACACCATGGTGGCTGGAGAGTGTTTTTGCACTCCCACATTGGGTTTGGAGTTTCTAAAATATGTTTGATTTCCCATGGGCACAAACCATTGCAACCACCATGGAACCATGGAAACGGTTGTTTGATCATAGCATGTCCGACGCACAAATGCTATGTTCATTCATGTTCGTATTTTTCATTTTAATCATGGAAAAAATTGTTTGCTATGGCATTGTCTGTTTAAAATGGAAGTGCAGTTGGTATCGCGTTGGCCCGGAAATCAGGGCATTGCAATTCACGTATTTTGTGCATTGCTTGTGGCATGGTGGAAGCAGTCTTGGATCAAAGGATCAACCCTTTTTTCTGCACAATATAATTCAATGAACAATGTTACACAATGCGCTGCGACCGTTCGATTTTTTGTAGTAACATCAAGTCAATGACTTAACGACAATGAATACAACATTCCCTTTTCAGGCAAAATTGATCAAAACTGCAACATTGGAATGTGGTGCAGTTTGTAAGCGAGTATGCATTGCAATAGGAGTTTGATCCTCATGAAAACAAAGTGAAATTGTTTTCATATCATTCATCGACGAAAAAATGGTTGTGTTGCGTTTGAACTGAGGCAGCATATTGCTGTGAACCGCCAGATTTGCAGAACGAGGCGTGGTGAGAACGTTTGAAATGGTTACACCACATGGGGGAGGTTTCCATTTCCGTCGTTTTTATAAGCAGAAATCAAAGAGACAAATTGTTTTCCAAATTATGTTGCGTTTGGGGCAGACTCGATACAATTAAGCAAACAATGCTGCCGCAATATTGTCAGTTGGTGTTGTGATATGTCAGAACATTTTGATTGGTTTGGAAGACAGAACAAAACAACATACAACGCAGTGAAGCGGTGCGATACATTGACATGAATCGACAGGCAAAGCTCTTGATGGAGTCCGTGGGAGTTTTTCCTGCTGGGCGCAGCTACAAACCCAGTTTTCCAAGACAGTCATCGCAGTCACAGCTTGGAAAGGCAGAACTTGCATCTAATCTGGAATCATTTTTCTGTTTTTCCCATTCATTGTTTTTATCAAGACACTTTATTCCCCACCTGCCAGGTGAGGGTTGTTAGATTTTATCAGAGCTGCTCTCCTCCTCCTCTTCCTCCTCCGCCTCCTCCTGCTCCTCCGCCTCCTCCTCCTCCTCCAGCATCTCCTCCACCACCTCTGCATCCACTCCCATGTTCACTTCCGCTTTGCCAACCGCTCTTCACCAACTTCCGAGCTCAGTGCGCACTGCTGGACCTCGGCCTGATGGGACCTTCCCAGCTCAGTGCGCACCGCTGGACCTCAACCTGGGACCTTCCCAGCTCAGTGCGCACCGCTGGACCTCAACCTGGGACCTTCCCGGCTCAGTGCGCACCGCTGAACCTCAACCTGGGACCTCCCTAGCTCAGTGCGCACCGCTGGACCTCAACCTGGGACCTTCCGAGCTCAGTGCGCACCGCTGGACCTCAACCTGGGACCTTCCGAGCGCAGTGCGCACTGCTGGACCTCAACCTGGGACCTTCCGAGCTCAGTGCGCACTGCTGGACCTCAACGGCCAGATAGAATGCCAGAAGATATGCCAGATAGAATGTCAGATAGACTGCCAGAAGATATGCCAGATAAAATGCCATAAGATCTGCCAGATAGAATGCCAGAAGATATGTCAGATAGAATGCCAGAAGATATGCCAGATAGAATGCCAGAAGATATGTCAGATAGAATGCCAGAAGATTTGTCAGTAACAAAATGTATAAATGTCATGGTGGGGATCACACGAAGTAAAGTAATTTTTGTTTTTTGTCAGTCAAGGGTTCACAACATGTTGAACGCATTTATGAAAATGGGATTGAATAGCCAATTTTGGATCGATACACAGATTTCCTGAAATTCCGCTGTTTGGGTCCAAAGCGCCTCAAATTCTTTCAACGACGTCCAGTTTCGTTGCTTGTTCACTCGAATTGAGCCTCGGCGGGGATTGGTGCGTGTCTCTTGGGAACCACTGGCAAATGCTTTGAATTCTTCGCAAGTTTCCGGAACTCATTTCCAACAAAGATAGAGACTATGGACCCGATCACATTGACATCTATCTAGAAGAAAATCAAAGTTTAGTTTAATCTGCCAAGGAGGTCAATGTGGCGCTCATTTTTCATAGTTCTGGCACCTTTGGTGCTGGCGGTTCGTGATGGTCACCAAAACAAGGACGCTGGGCAGTGACTCATGGAGGGTGGAAAATAGTTGGGATGGTGGAGAGTTCGATACTGGAAACTCCTCTTGCATCGAAAAACGTCATGAAAGAAGCGGCATCAGCGTTTTTTTTCCGAACGTGTACATGTCCTAGAATCCAGTCCCAGGTTGTAGGCAGCTGACTGTTATTTCTTGAGCACAATGTTGTTTCTATCTTTGGTGCAGGAGTCCCAGCTTGTCGATTTGGCTTTGCTGGCAAAGTTGAGCTGTAGACCTCTGACTCATCAGACCAGTCTTGACATGATGAAGATGAGGATGATGATTACTTGAAACGATTTGAGATTATAACGGCAAGGACAAAAGTTTTTCCTCTTGACTAGCTGCTGGAACCCTCTCCCCTTAGATTGCTGAGAGGTTTCATATGAATCAGGTGGCGGATCGTAGATCAGCTGGTTTGTGAGAAAAGTATTTTAATTTATTCCGACTTGAAGTAAGATCCGCCATGCAGGCCATGCAAAGCTCGGATTATTGATCGCAGCTGGGGTCATGATGTTTTTAGGAACCTAAACGAGAAACAACTTTCTTCCTCCTGATGTATGTTCCTGTCAGGGATTGACTTTTCTTCCCGTTAATCCTGTCCTGCCAGGATTCAGAAAGAGGCGTGCGGGCCTGGTCAGAGGTGACCAGTCTGGCCAAATTGATTTGGTTGGCCGTGTTTGGGATTTGGTACAGGATGTAGGACAGGACTGCCGGGGATTTTGAACCCATTCACGGACACACACACACACACGCACACACGCCCGCCCGCCCGCCCGCCCGCCCACGAACACACGCGCGCGCGCACACACGCACGCACGCACAAACGCAAGCGAGGCTCGACTTTTAAACACTTGGAACGAAATGAATGTATGATATATAATGTGATATAATTATAATATATTATAGCGTTTTAATCCCCAATAGAGATAGTTTGGGGTTGTTAACTCTAAAGGCAGATGGGCGCCGTCGGGTTCCCCGACACCGGCCAGGGCGGTGTCTCGGTGGTGTCTCGGTTGTGTCTCGGTGGTGTCTTGGTTGTCTCCAGTTGGTGTCTCTAGTTGGCGTCTCTAGTTGGTGTCTCGGTGGTGTCTCAGTGTGTCTCGGTGGTGTCTTGGTTGTCTCCAGTTGGTGTCTCTAGTTGGCGTCTCTAATTGGTGTCTCGGTGGTGTCTCAGTGTGTCTCGGTTGTCTCCAGTTGGTGTCTCTAGTTGGCGTCTCTAGTTGGTGTCTCGGTGGTGTCTCAGTGTGTCTCGGTTGTCTCTCGCTGGTGCCTTGGTTGTCTCCAGTTGGTGTCTCTAGTTGGCGTCTCTAGTTGGTGTCTCGGGGGTGTCTCAGTGTGTCTCGGTTGTCTCTCGGTGGTGTCTTGGTTGTCTCCAGTTGGTGTCCTTAGTTGGCGTCTCTAATTGGTGTCTCGGTGGTGTCTCAGTGTGTCTCGGTTGTCTCTCGGTGGTTGGTTGTCTCCAGTTGGTGTCTCTAGTTGGCGTCTCTAGTTGGTGTCTCGGTGGTGTCTCAGTGTGTCTCGGTTGTCTCTCTGTGGTGTCTTGGTTGTCTCCAGTTGGTGTCTCCAGTTGGTGTCTCTAGTTGGCGTCTCTAGTTGGTGTCTCGGTGGTGTCTCAGTGTGTCTCGGTTGTCTCTCGGTGGTGCTTTGGTTGTCTCCAGTTGGTGTCTCTAGTTGGCGTCTCTAGTTGGTGCCTCGGTGGTGTCTCAGTGTGTCTCGGTTGTCTCTCGGTGGTGTTTTGGTTGTCTCCAGTTGGTGTCTCTAGTTGGCGTCTCTAGTTGGTGTCTCGGTGGTGTCTCAGTGTGTCTCGGTTGTCTCTCGCTGGTGCCTTGGTTGTCTCTTGGTGGTGAGTCGCTGGTGTCTCTAGGTGGTGTCTCGGTGGTGGCTGGGTGTTGTCTCGGGGGTGCCTTGGTGGTGTCTGAGATGTTGTGCCGCTGGTGTCTCTTGGCAGTGTTGATGTCTCAGTGGTGTGTCTCTGGTTTCGGTGCTCGCTGGTGTCTTTCTGGTGTCTCAATGATGTCTCGGTGGTGTCTTGCTGGTGACTTGGTGTTGTCTTGGCGGTGTCTCGATTGTCTCTTGGTGTTGTCTCGGTGGTGTCTCTTGGTGGTGTCTTGCTGATTGGTGGTGTCTCTATGACGTCTTGGTAGTCTCTCGGTGGCATCTGAAAGGTGTCTGCATTGCGTTGTGATCTTTTGATTGTGTTTCATTGGTGCCTTCATGGTGTCCAGTTGGTGCCTCGGTGGTGTCTCAGCCGCTTCCATGCTGATACAAGGTGTTCACGGTGTCTTGGTCGTATCTTGGAGGCGTCGTGTTGGTGGTGTCGGGGCGGTTGCGTTGTGGTGGTTGGGTGTCTGTGGTGTTTCCCTGCGCGTCAGAAAATCTAATCTCGAGTGCATTTTCTTGATTGGTCGCACCATGCACCATAGTCTTCAGCGGTTGCATGCTGTTGTCATGGTGGCCATCGTGACTGCTGAAGATGACTGTTATAATGAGTAGGAGGATTGTGATGATGATGATGATGATTGATAATGATCATGATGACGATGACGATGGCGACAACGACGACGGCGACGACGACGACGACGATGATGCTGCTGCTGGTGATGGTGATGGTCGGTGATGGTGATGGTGGTGTTGATGATGATGATGATGATGATGATAAAGATGTTGACGATGACGATGATGATGGTGATGATGATTATGATGATGAAGATGGAGGTGATGATGATGATGATGATGGTAAAGATGATGATGGTGATGATGATTATGATGATGAAGATGAAGGTGATGATGATGATGATGGTAAAGATGATGATGGTGATGATGGTCGTGATGGTGAATATGGTGATGGTGATGGTGATGATAATGGCAGTGATGATGATGATCATGATGATGATATCGATGGCGATGGCAATGGTGATGACGACATTGCGTTTGCATGGATGTTGACGTATGCTAGGAAGTAACGTACTTACTGTAACTACTAGGATGCTTCTACCGAAGCAAATGCGAACATTCCCTCATGACATGCAGCAACCAGGCAGTGCGCTGCTCACCTCACCCGAGGAGTTGACATACCTGCTGCATGCTACACTTCCACGCCCTCGCGCAAATTTATCAAAGGAAAAAGGTATTAGAATAGAAAACCAACAGGAAAGAAGGGAATAATCTCTACAGGAGGAAAGGAAAGAAGGAGGGAGGGAGGGAGGGAAGGAAGGCCTAGCTCCAAAATGCTGCGTGCGCTTTCCAATTTATGCATGTTACTCTCAGAGATTTGCAGGCTTCAACCAATTTACAAGCGTTGGGTTTCAAAAGGTGGCAAAGACCGTGCAGTTTACACATTTTAGCTGCAACACGCTGCAAACACCATGCCACTGTGCGCAATGTGCAGATGATAGTTTCAAGATGTTGCGAATACCGCCCACTTGCAGGTTTGAGCTTCAGAAAGTCGCAAAAATAGCATCCAATTAACAGGTGTAAATTTCAAAATGCTGCGCATGCCATGCGGTTTACCAGTGATAGTTGCAAAATACTGCGAAGACCATGCGATGCATTAAAATTTGCCCCAGTATTTAGTGTGTTTGGTTTTCTAAATGCTGCAAGCAATCTACAGTGTAAAGATTTTTTGCTTCAGAGCGCCGTGAAATCACAACACGGTTTTCAGATATGATTCCAAATCTTGCAAGTACCCTGCAATTGCAGATGTTAGCTTCGCACTGCTGCAAAATATTGTCTGATGGCAAAGATCCGTGCAATGAACTGATGTTGCATCATACCAGGCAGTGTACAGGTGCCGGCTGCAAAATGCTGCAAATGTTACGCGGCTTAGAAATTTTAACGGCAAACCCATGACCAAAATATTTTTCACAGATGCTTTCACACAGAGGTGCTTCCACCAAGGCATGTTTTTACACAGACGTTTGCACATACACATGCGTGTATCCAGAAATGGTTTTACACAAACACCTTCACGCACAGGTGTTTTACACCAGGGTGCTTTTACACAAAAACTTTTACACACAGACGTGCAGGTACTTCTAAACACAGATGCCTTCACACTGCGATGCTGTTGAGGAATGCTTTTACACGCAGGTGCTTTTACACATGTTTCTTTTGATATAAAGTATAAGTAGCCTTTACACACAGAAGCTTTTACAGTAAATACTCTTATGCAGAGTTTTTTTTACATAGAAATATACATTTGAACGGAGATACTTTACAAAGAGGTATTTTTGCACGGATATATACTCTTACGGCGAGACTTTTACACACTGGTGTTTTTTTCGACTAGGACGCATCTAGGCAGAGGTACTTTTACATGGGTGAGGCTGGGAATTGAAACACGATTTGGGGGAGGTTTCCGGCTATTTCTGAGAATCAAGTTTCCATCCTTTTTTTAAAGAGAGATGCTTTTTCATGCAAGTGCTTCTACACAGGGAGGGCCTTCACACAGAGATGGTTTTACGCAGAGAGATGATTTTACAAAGGGATGCTTCTACTTACAGGTGCTCTTGTACAGAGATACTTTCAACGCAGCGATGCTGTTGCACACGGGTGCTATAAGATACAAATACTTCTTACACAGAGATGATTTTGCTAAGAGAAACTTTTAGATGCAGGGAGGGGTTACACACAGTTGCCTTTACACAGAGATGTTTTTACACAGCTGCTTTGACACGCTAATACGTCTACACTGTGTTTTTCGCGAAAGCTAGCTGTGCTAGTCACCATTTTCATCTTCATCCTCACCCTCCTCACCTTCATCCTCATCCTCATCATCATCATCATCATCCCCATCATCCGCAGCATCCACATCATCATCATCCAGATTATCCTCTTCGTCCTCCTAATTGTCGATCAACATCCTCATCCCCTGGTACCACTGGGCCATTGATTTCCTGCAGGTATAGGGTCGTCCTCTTCAGTATTTCATCTTCAGGACGTCATGTACAGTAAACTAACCAACAGCTCTATAAAATAATCATCGGAAACTTGCCGGCTTCCAAATGATCATACTTATCTTCCTCCTCCTCGTCGTCATCATCAGCATCATCATCGTCATCATCATCATCAACAACATCCTCATCATCATCCCCATCCTCATCCTCATCCTCATCATCTTCCGCCTCCTCCTCATCCTCATCGTCATCATCATCATCTTCTTCATCTTCATCCTCATCCCCATCATCCCCATCATTCGCAGCATCCACATCATCATCATCATCATCATCATCATCATGATCACCACCATCAACACCATCATCATCATCATCATCATCATTATCCTCATCATCATCACCATCATCATCATCATCGCCATCATCATCAACAGCATCATTTTCCTGTTCATCATCCTTATCATCATACATACATACATACATACATACATACATACATACATACATACATACATACATACATACATACATACATACATACATACATACATATGTTGGTCTTGAACATCTTTATGCAGATTCGGGCTTCCATTTGGGGGGCGTTTTTTTTTGATGTTGCGTTTCTTTTGCTTACAACACTTGGCGAGAGACGATTGCTGCATTGGGGGGGGTTCGCTTACTGGACCCAATAGATTCTGCCACCCTACAACGGCCGTGCTCATCATTATCATCATCCTCATTTTCATCTTCATTCTCATCCTCAGCATCCTCATCATCCTCATCATCGTCATCATCCCCATCATCCTCATCATCCTCAACATCCTCTTCGTCCTCATCGTTTTGTCATCAACTCATTCCTGATACCACCACTTTCGTCATGATCAGTTTCCTTCATCGTTCTGGTCAGCAACCTCATCAACATCAAAAGATTGGCTCTGTTTGTGACATGCAGCAACTCCAAAAAACCACGTGAGACCCTTGCCGCATTCCGACTTCACCCTGCTCATCCCCCTTTACGATTACCACCCTACCCCAGCCCTGCAAGTTTTCGTGCCTCCCCCCTGGCCTCAAGTCCGAACACATTATTTTACGCACTTTCACACTTTCACATAGAGACATTTTGACACACAGTGGCAGGCGCGTTTACATGCAAATACTTTTACACGGCGATGTTTGTTTTGTGCATGTTTTCTTTTTACATGCATGCTCTTTCACAGGGAGGCTTTCAATCACACATGCTTTTACACAGAGATATTTTTACACAGAGACACCTTTACACGAGATGCTTTTGCACAGGGATGCTGTCACGCACAGAAATATGTTTGTACACACATACTTTTACAGAGGGATGATTTTACATTGAGCAATTTTACACACAGATGCCAAACCAAACAGAGGCGCTTTTACAAAGCAATGTATTAGCACGAGGAGTTTTTACCTATGGGCATTTTTGCGCAGACATACTACTGCATGATTTCCGACGGCGGACACGCATATGGCGCAAAATAATTCAGCAAGCATATGCAAAATCACACTTTCACAGCTTTTGAGGTTCGAGACGCATTTCGTGGGACAGGGCTGGCCCAGCGCAAGCCCACATTGCAATTTGACCTCAATGTATGATGATCGACATTTCGCGCAAGAGGGTTGCGTTTCATGGACATCAATCCATGCTGACCTGGCGCTCTAGGATAAGTTTTACAAAAATCAAGATTGTAGTTGCGTTGAAGAAATTGATCTCCACTTGTGTCTTTACATCTGCCCCTTTACACCTGCGTCTATCCACTTCTCGGTGTCGTTTAAACAATCATCTCCACCTGCACCTATGGGTCTTCCGCAATACACCTGCATACAAGATATATATATATAATTAATTATATATATCATGTGTATATATATATTATTATTATATATTATTTTATTTATATAGATATATATATCTCTCTCTTTAATATGTTATTTATATATATATATTTATATTTATATATTTATATCATACTTATATCATATTTATATTTTCATTTGGTGGCCGTGTTAAAGAAGATTCTGTGAACCTGCATCTATGCATCTGGTCCTAAACACCTGTCAGTAAGATTGATACCTGCATCTAGGCCTGTGTACAAAAAAGTTTCATTTTGTACATGCACGCAAGAACATCACTTTGTAGATGCACGAAAATGAAGATGTTGAAGAAGAAGATGTAAAAGAAAAAAGAAAAAGAAGAAGGATGATTGATCAATATTATCTTGATGATGATGGTGATGTTGTTGATGATGATGTTGGTGATGGGGATGATGATGATGATGATGATGATGATGATGATGATGGAGTTGGCGGTCTTGATGATGATGATGATGGTGATGATGGTGATGATGATGATGGTGGTGGTGGTGGGGGTGGTGGTGTTTTGATGATGGTGGGTGTTTTTTACTGGCGGTGTTGTGATGCGAAACTTTGCTATTGGGGCTGTTTGCTGAGTCAACTACTATTTAGGTTCTTAGATTTTCTGAAAGCCTGCTGTGAAGGTATTGATTGCAGAAGTTTATCAGAATTTTGGGATGGTATGCTGAGTACACACATCATGTTTCATGTTTTTCCATTTAGGGAATTAATTTCGAGGAACGGTTAGGGTGGTCAATCTTGAGGGGCAGCTTCAAACTTTCTGTAGAGAATGATGGCCAGGCTTCTCAATGAGAATTATCGTCGAGATCAAGCATGCTGGCAGTTGTGCTTTCGGCTGCACTGCTAATTTGCAGAGGTGCTATCGGCTGAAGTGACTCCAGAGTCTCCGGAGGTGACTTGTTTTCTCCGAGGTTCCGTGTTTGGCAGCCCTGACAGAGTCTTGAAGCTTGGACATTGCAAGCGAGTGAATTGGGCAAGTGATCTTTTTCCATTGTACGGGTAAAGAAAAGTGACGGATATTCGTTTGCAAAGTAATTCAAACCAGCAAATTCTTCTTCGTCAGATGGTTGGGATCCAGAAACATGACCATTCGTGGCCACTCTTGGCCGGTCAGGAAAGTCATCATCCGGGACACCAATGTCCCCTCGCGCTTCTATCAAACGATCGAGAAGAACTTTACCACGCAACTTTGCTGGAGTTGTGCCAAAGTTGCTTGCTGAAGTCGAAAACTTTAGTTGGTTTTAGTTAATTTGACATGTGCCTGTGCTGTTTTCATATCTTTCGGCATCTTTCGACAAATTTTCATCGTTATGCAACGGGCTGATCCGGCACTGTGCAGCTTGCCTTTGTCAATTCGTGCAACATGCTGTACTGAAGATCTTCCTACGTAGACGTGCAGCTCGTGAAGGCGATGCTGCCAGGCCAAGCATCCCCAAGCTGTGTCCGAGCAGTTGTCCTTGCCGACCTTCGTATGTCACATATTTATTTATTTATTTATGTATTTATTTATTTATGTATGTATGTACTTATTTATTTATGTATTTATTTTTTATTTATGTATTTATTTAGTTATATTTATTTATTGATGTTTTGTTTGTTTATATTTATTTTATTCATTTAGTTCATTTATTTATACACATGTTTGTAGATGTGTATACAATAATGTACCTATATACAAAAATATGTATATGTATGTATATATATATACACTGATTACACTGTATATAGAACGGGATAGTTTGCTCAAGCCCCCCAGTCCCGCACAATTTTGCCAACTTTTAGCTGCAGAGCTTGACTGGCTTGTACTTTCGAGATGCATCTCTGAATTATTTGTAAATATAAATACATATACATGGTACCCCCCCGGCCTATGTTTTCAATGGGTTTTGCGGTATCAAGACCCTTTCCACTCAAGTCTGGACTTGTCTTTCTAAAGTCTGGACTTATCTTTCTGAAGTCTGGACTTATCTTTCTGAAGTCTGGCGAGTCCATCTTAGCGGATCCAAGATCCAAGATGTCCTGGGGGCCTTGGCCCAGGAATCTTGGCTCCATAGATCCAAGATCAAGATTTCCTGGGGCAAAACGGCCCAGGAATCTTGGATCCGTGGATCCAAGACCCAAGATTTCTCAAGGAGAGTCGCTAGATCCTGGATCTTGGATCCGGGCTTGCTGGATCCAAGATTACCCAAGAGGAGTCTCTGGGCATCTTGGATCTTGGATCATGGATCTGGATCCAAGAAAAGTTTTCTGGAGATCTTGGACCTTGGATTCAAACACTACCATCCTGATGTTTCAAGTCTGAACGCGAGTCAGACTTGAGATTCTCAAGTCTGGTCCTTGTCAGTCTAATTCTTGCCTTTCTAGAATTCTACGTGGAACTCACATGGAGGTCCTGGCACTCTGATCCGTTTTGCTGCCCTGGCACAGCGTTCGTTGTAGCATCCTTCGTGGCTCGGGCCTGCTTTCCTTCGTTCGTCACCTGGACCTCAATGGCGATCCCTGTTGCTGGCTGCGTTACTCTCCAAGACCACCAGGCCGTTGTGGTGCTGTCCGTGACGCCGGGCCAGCCACAGCCTTCCTCAAGGCTTGCTGGACCGGGTCATTGCCGGGCAGGTGCCCGACCACGAATCCAGGCAGCCTGTACAACGGAAGTACTTGGCTGCCATGGTGTGAAACATTCAAAGAGGGCTACGACTCAGCCCTGTCGGGCTGCTGGGGGTATGGAGCCAGGAAGTTTCCAGGAAATTCATTCACAACCTCACCCTGCCTCAAGTGGTGCGCACGCCAAAGAAGCCGCAGCAGCTTGCTCTGCCGGCACCACCTGTATCTTGGCAGGCAAGTCATTCCGAATCCACCTTTGAACGGGCCCTCCGTCCATGCCTGGCACTCCTCAAAATAACGAGGATGTGGATGCGGAACGCCCAGCAAAGGTGCAGCGCTGCACATTGTGCTGTGATTATGATGACCTGCTGACCGATCATCTTCGAGTCTGGGATGAATTGGAGAGCCGGAAAAAAGATCGCATCGATGCAGGCCATCTTAGACTCGCTGCGCTGAGGTGACCGGCTTGAGACTCTGATCTTGCGATGCTAGACGTCGGAGCTTGAGCCCATGTCAGATACGGAGAAAAGTGTGTGTGTGTGTCTGTACGTGCTGCACTTACGGGATCAGTTGTGCAAACTTGTCACAGACGTGCATGAAGTTTGGAGGTTTTTACCTTGCACCAAATCTAAGGGTGTCAATATAGAACATAGGCCGGAAGCATGGAACATACTTCTGATGTTTTCCATTGATTTTTGTTCGGTATCTGCACCCTTCCCACTCAAGTCTGGACTTGTTTTTCTCAAGTCTGGACTTGTCTTTCTGCAGTCTGGCAAGTCCATCTTAAACTTAGTGGATCCAAGATCCAAGATCCAAGACATACACATACATAGATATACTGTGGTCGAGCCCCCCCTTCAGACTGGACAGCCCGTATTAAGACTGGAGATTCCGTGTTCAGACTTGAGATCCCACGTTCAGGCCTGAGATTGAGTGTTCAGATTTGAGATCCGATATTCGATCCGTGGCATCACGGCATCACTCTTCCGGCAAAGGTTGTTGGAACTGACACTGTGTAAGTTGTACCATGTCGTCTGCTGACTTTGCATATGCCTCGAATCTCGAACATGTCCGGTCGCAGCGTATTCTGCTCTGCAAAGCTTTCATTGCAGCTCCTTTATCACAGTACTCGGCGTCCAATGGCAAACGGCCATGTCGATGAAGCGATGCAAGCCTATGGCAGCAAAGAGTGGCACTTCGAGGCTTTGGACCTTCCTTGTGGGATGGTGAAAGGTCCAGCCGACATTGACAAACCACTCACCGTGTTTGATTTTGTCGCCTGCTGTCCGTTACCTCACGGAGTCAAAAGCACGGTGATGATCTTGGATGTGCAGAGGGAGGTTGCCGACTGCGGAGCTGCGCGTGATGTCGCAGCAGCTTTGCACGAGCAGAAGCCTGGAACCTTACCACCTGCCGTCCAGTTCAAAAAAGCATTGCCAGCGACTCAAAGTTGGGAAGCGTTGTCGCCGAGAGAGGGGATGGGAAGCTTGACGTCATCATTGTTGTGTTCTTCAAGGACAAGGTCCAAGTTCGTGATGCTGTCAAGGTTGTGACGGGCACCCCATTTGTTCCTTCCTCACGTCCGGGACCCCGGGCAGTGAAAAAAGCTTTCCAACCGCTTCTGGATCGAATACCAGGACACCATTTGCAATGGAATGCTGTCACCAAATGGGAGAGATCTGCCAAGAGTAGCAATTCTTCATCTTCCACTTGGGCCCCAGAGAAGGAGATGCTGATGGAAGGAATAGCATACATCAACGAGAATGCGCCGGAAAGCGATGCCAACAACGAGCAGTATGGTTGGATCCTGCTCAATACCAAGGAAGATTCAGAGAGCCGTATTGCTGGATGGCCAGAATTTGCTTCCTGCCATCTATCCTTTGTTCGTGTGTTATGGCGTCATGGCCCTCAAATGGCCTGGCGTAGGCAAGGCTCCAGCTCTCATCGCCATGATCGTGGCCATGGGCCGCTACCACATTCATCGACTCCAAGAAGCAGATGCTAGGCCTGCCTGGAGACGCGCCAAGAGCTTTTAGACAATTGTCGGCATCAAATTGGTCGTGTCTATGAGGGCGTTTTCCTTGATGACCCGGACCGTAAAAACATCTCTGTCAGTGATCTGAAATCTTTCCTCACCGTAGTGGAGGAAGACCAAACTACATACAACGATGCAAAACCATGCAGAAACACCGTGCGAGCCTATGCCTCGAATGACCTTGACCAGGATGATGAACCTGAGGATGATAGCCGGACCTCAATCACAGGGGAAGAGTTTCTTCGTCTTACCCGACGCCTCTTCGCAGGCGACAAGCATGCGGATGTGCTTGCCTGCTTGAAGCGCACAGTCGATTTTTCTCTTCGGGCACAAAGCTGTGTACCTGCGGTTGCCAAGTCAAGATGCTGCTGCGAAGGTGCATCGCATCAAGGTCGATCGAAGATTTGCTGGCAGAGAAGGACAAGCCTCTGTATTCCAAATACAAGCTTGGCATTGTGGAATATGGCCCAGACTGGGAAGACGAGGTGACCAAAGAGGTGCGCATGATTTCCGAAGGCATGACCAAGTTTGAATCCGGGAGGCCAGAAGAGCACATTGCGGCTGTGAATGAGGAGACAGAGGAGCAACTGTACCCATCATCTGCCTTCAGCTCGCCTTCCTCGAGAAAAGGCACAGAACCAAAAGCAGCCAGGGAGAAAAGCCAGCTGATGCTGCTCCTGATCCAGATGGTATGGGCAAGGTGGAACCCATCCACCGCAGGCGCTGGAAGAGCCAATCACGGTATGCTCGGCGGTTCTGTCTTCGGTGAGAAATGTAATTTTCGTGTCTACGTGTTATTGCTGTTTTCAACCGCAGGTTTTGATGTGAGCGGTTCCGCGATGCGCGGCAGGGTTCGTGACCACTAGTCTTTCCGGGAGGAGGGCAATTATATTGGCAGGCGAAAAATGAACATTTAGAAGGTTCGTGAAGGATATTTCTGCTGTGTCCCGTAAAGGAGTGGTAAGTGGTACTGCCTTTTGCCCCTTCGATAACATCATAATGTAATGTGATGAACTAACATTCCATTTGAAAGTTTAATCTGCTGAGAAAGGAATTTCTTAGGGCAATGGTCAAATTCCCAGTGACCTAGGTAACATTGGCAGGAATGGCAAATATTTTCGGGGATATTGCCATAATAGGTATGCATATATTTGTTTATGGAGCGAAAGCCGAAATGTGCGCAAGGAGTACACTTTTGTGCCTGATAGGCAAAAAGTTGGGGCCATGATTGACCACTCTGTGCATTGGCTCTCAAAGGAGCTGGACCTGCAATCCAGAAAGGTACTGTTCGGGCTGTTTGGGGATATGTACATGAATATGAATAAGTTTTAGAGATAGAATAAATCACATCAAAGGTCACTCTCAGAAAGGATTGCGCGAGGTGATCTTTTGTCAATTCATGGAAGTTGGATATTAAATCAATTAGATTGTGAGCTTCGTTGGTGAGTAGCGAATCAGACTGGAATTGCTTCAATAGTGATAGCCTTATTGGCTGGCCAGATTTTTCCTCGGAATGCTCTGTCCTCAATAGGAGCTGAGGATGCGAGATGGACATTGTGTCCAGGAATGGCTTCAATAGGAATTGCTTCAATAAGTTGGACAGGTTGTCCAGGTGAAAAAGAACTTCAAGAAGAATAGCTTTAATGGGTGGGACTTTAAGTTCTGCGAGCCCTGTATGAGCTGGTCTAGGCAGTTGGACTTTGAGTCCAGGAATGACTTCACTTGGAACTGCTTCAAGAAAGAGGACAGGAAGTCCTGGAATTTATTTTAATACAAATGGCTTCAATATGGACACTGAGAGTCCTTTGGATCTGTTTCCTGGATAGGAGTGTAATTGTCTGGGAGGAGGTGGTTGTGGAATGGGTACAATTTATGGCAAGCAAAAAATGAAAATATAATTGCAGAAAACATTGAACATATCCTTTAAAAAATCATGGAAGATGACCAGCTGGGACTTAGAAGAGATACAAGCAACCGAGCAAAGCGAGCACCCTTTGCAGGAGCCACCCTGCAGGTAGGCCAGGGACATAAGTCTTAGAAATACTTCTCGCGGGATGGTGCGAAGAATAGCGGCACAAAAATTTGAGCCAATCTATTGAAGAGGGAACTCATTTCCGCAATCGGGACGATCAAATAGTCCATTGCAATGGCAAGTAACACGCACGAAAAGGCAGCAGCGAAACAACAGGAAACTGAAAAGTGGCAAGCTAAAGCTTGTGCCAAATGCCTTTATCTATATCTATATCTATATCTACATCTATATCTAATTCTATATCTATATCTATTTTTATATCTACATCTACATCTATATCTATACCTATTTCTATATCTGTATCTATATCTATATGTATATATATATATACATATAGGTATGTTTAAGAATTCGTAATTTTTGGATGGCCGTCTGTTCCACAGCAGTTGAACGCGAACATTATTAGAGGGCTTGTGAAATCCTAACTTCTGTGAAACGTGCAGAAACGTCGACAACTTTTGTGAAACGTGCACGACATCTCTGAAACACTGCAAACGGGACTTGACCATCCTATACCCGTAAAAAATTAAACAATATAGATATATGGTTATATGTCATTACTTTATTGATTGTCGGAGGCCTCAGTACAGCCACCAGGCTTGTGCAAGACCTCCTGGTATGGAAACTTTCCGTGACCCAATTTATTTTCCCACGCACCGTCCAGTGTATGACAGACTGGGTGAGTTAGTGAGATTTGGACTCATTTTCATATTTGATATATTTATTGAATTCTTCAAAATTCTCGAGATACTTTGACTTTGTTTGGCGAAAGTCTTGACGCAGATGTGCCTGACTCTGCCAAGCTGATGGCAACCGTCGATGTGAAACAGCGGAGCCGCTTCAAGGCCAAAGGATGCGCCAGTTGTTACGGCGGGTGGCTATTATCATGATCCTTGCCCTGTGATTATTTGAGGCATGAAAGGTTGCCCTCCAAGCATTTGTGTCTATATATCACGAAAGCTAGCGGTAGCTAGCTGGAGTTACTCTTGCTTCAGCAAGGGCAGGGGCAGGTCTGAGTCCAACACAGTGATTTTTCACTCGAACCCCCCCAAGTTCCCGGGGCATTTTGAAGCAGTGATGGAAGCAGATGGTCACGGGCGCAATTCTGATCGGTCTCCAGGCAATCTGTATTCAGCATATCCAAATCCCATCAAAATCCCATCATGTTTCCAGGCTTATATGAACCTTAGCTTTCATTCACCCCCCTTGGGCCTCATGTATATATATATATATGTATGTATGTATGTTATGTTATGTTATGCTATGTTATGTTGTGCTATGTTATGTTATGTTTTGTTATGCTATGTTATGTTATGTATGTATGTAATTAATGTATGTAATTTATGTATGTAATTAATGTATGTATTTAATGTATGTAATTAATGTATGTAATTAATGTATGTAATTAATGTATGTAATTAATGTATGTAATTAATGTATGTATGTATGTATGTATGTATGTATGTATGTAATGTATGTAATGTATGTGTGTATGTATGCATGCATGCATGCATGTATGTATGTATGTATGCATGTATGCATGCATGTATGTATGTAATGTATGTATGTAATGTAATGTAATGTAATGTAATGTAATGTAATGTAATGTAATGTAATGTATGTATGTATGCATGTATGCATGCATGCATGTATGTATGTATGTAATGTATTAATGTATGTATGTATGTATGTTATGTTATGCTATGTTATGTTATGCTATATTATGTTACGTTTTGTTATGCTATGTTATGTATGTATGTAATTAATGTATGTAATTAATGTATGTAATTAATGTATGTAATTAATGTATGTAATTAATGTATGTAATTAATGTATGTGTGTATGTATGTATGTATGTATGTATGTATGTATGTATGTATGTATGTATGTATGTATGTATGTATGTATGTATGTGTGTATGTGTGTATGTATGTATGTATGTATGTAGGGAGGTAGGGAGGTAGGTTGGTTGGTAGGTATGCATGTATGTATGGTTGTAACGTCGTGTAATGTAACGTAACGTGACGTAACATAACGTAATGTACCGTAACGTAACGTAATGTAATGTAATGTACTGCAATGTAATGTAATGTATGTGTACAATATATTATGTATGTAACGCAATGCAACGTAACGTAACGCAACGCAATGCAATGCAATGCATGGGAAAAGGAAAAACATCCAGCACTCAGGACACAATTCTTATAGATTTCAATGGTGTTCTGGTGCTTTGGAGCGGCTTCCCTTTCTAGTACGGGCCGAGGAGCCTGTGGCTCTCGTGCCACTGATTGCCATAGCACGCACCTTACCAATCATCTCTGTACGGAAACAGATGGCCAGGGAAGTAGATCCAGAAGTCATGAAGACCACTTATATCATAAACATTCAAAAACCATTTAAATGGTACCAGCCTTTCACTACCACGGTGCAACATGCTCAGCCGAAGCCTTGCTGCCAGTTGATGGGCTGGCACCAGTGCGGCAAAAAGTCTGTCAACGTCAACTTTGCCGGCAGCAAAGCGCGCCCCGTGGTCTCTGCTTGGGCAAAGGGGCGGCCTCCAAAACGGACATAGGATGATATCGGATGTACATGGAAGATACTGCATTGATCTGTACTGAAATATATATGCCTGAATGTAGCTTGCACGATTTTAACGGTATGAAGTCTATTCTGCGGTATGCCTGGGATTCCTGTAGGTTCCTATGGATTCTCCAATTGATCGCCAAATTTTCGCTGCCGTAAAACATGTTTTTCGCTGGGAAATGTTAACAGTTTAGCCCGTTGATTTCAGCTTGAGATGGGAAGTTCCCTAGAGACGGAAATCAAGGTGGCAAAGCTCTTACAAAAACAACATTGGGTGCTATTAGACGATTTTTTCTACAGTCACGGACGGGCGCTGTTGACAAGAGTTTGATCAATGGTTTGAGGAGTTTAGTAACAACACTGCAGCGCACTGCTCTTTTATTCCATCGATTTTTCAATGTTTTTCATGTCAACGTCAAGAGCTTTAGTCACTTTAGTCACGGAACTTCGAAGTGACTTTGCAGGTCCACATCCTGTCCTACAAGAAGGTGGGGAACCCAAGCAGCGTCCTCGAGCTTCCTCAAATGGCGACCCAATTTGTGAAACGCGCCCCCTTGAGAACTGCGCAAATTGCTGGTGGACTTGTGGTTGTTTGTTTTTACATTTTTTTTACTTCAGCGCCTTGTCTCAGAGAACCTTGTCTACACTCTATAGCCAAAACATTGGGTTGATTGAGTACACAGAGACAAACTTTTCTACACACTAAAAAATATGTTGAAACATGTTCGGGAACACGTTGAAACAAAGTATTCAAACGTCATCAGCTCAGCTGTAATGTAGTGCACTCTGCAAGCCTCAAACAGAGGTCAGTCAAGTCAAAGTCAAGGTGGAAGTCAGTGAAGGTATTTTCCTTTTCAGGGCAAGGCTATTGCCGATGGTTTGGTTGATGAAAGCCACATGTGCTGGTGCTGCAAAATAGTATGGAAGCAAAGTTTTCATTCGGGCACAACTCAGTGTTACATTCACACTGATGGGCCTTAGCTTATGCTTGACAAAGCAGGAAATTGACACATTTGGATACAATCCATGCTGTCCGTTTGCAAAAGCACGCGAAACCTTCTGCAACCAGGAACGCAAGAATTTCTTCTACCAGAAAGTCCAGCTCGACTTCGAGAAAATTGGAGCCCAGGCGCGGACAACTACATTTCGCAGATGTCTATTTGATGGCTATCGGTGAGTTCAAAACCTGATCGTGGAGAAGCCTTCAGATAAGACCTAGAGTGGGACTCTATGGCTGTTGGGCCACATGGACCAGAGCGTGCACAGCTTCAGCTTCTTGTTCAAATGTGGAAGTCTAACCGTTTCTTATCGTCGAAACTGGTGTCAACCAAGGCGTCTTCTTTGCTGAAGGCCAGAAGTCTTGATGTCACGGAATAGTTGTCGTCACTGCTTTCAGAATATCTTTGAGCCGCGAAACAAAATCGTGTCATCTATAGTTGCATCACGCATCCGATTTTTTGGCCTAGGGCTGTTTCCACTAGCACTTGTCTGGGGTAGCTGTCACGGTGATGCTTGAATGGCTGACGATAATGCAGAGAAAGTCTGCTGTATTTGCGCAGAATTGAGCTCACAAAGTGGACACATGTGAAGAGACAAGGATCTGATGTTTCTGCAAAATGTGGTTCAGATGCGATCATCCTCAGCTGAAAGGTGAACTCTGTGTATGATGCGCTGGACATGGGCGACACAGAGAAGAAGGAGACCTCTGGGGCGAGCTCTTGGGGGTGTCTGTAAATTGAACTGGACCTCTGGTCCAACGGGTGCGAGTCTCAAGTACCTTGATATCGCAACGCATTTAATCATATCTCTCGCTGGTGGTCTCCAAACCCTGACTTGGTTCCCCTGCTGATTTGGAAAAAAAAGATCGGAGGTCCATTTGATCGTCACAGATTCAATCAGCAAAACAAAACCGGGGATCAGATCAGGGGGGTATACTTAAGCTAGGTTTTTTAATTGAAGTAAGCATGGGAGAAAGGAGGAAAAAAGGAGGAAACAAGGTTGTTTTCAGGATGAAAATGTGCAGTGACTAAGTGACAGATCTGTGGTTTAGAATTTGTGTTGCCAGGAATTTTCTCAAAAATCAATTGGTTGCATGGCAGAGGCCCAATCTGACAATGATCGCCCCCATATATAGCATCGCATCGGAACTGCATTTCACTCAGAGATCTTTCGAAAATTTGAAATAATTTTACCTCGAGTGATCCATATTGACCGGACGTGTGTTTCTTTTTATGGGATAATCTCACTTGTGCCCATCCCTGTCACATCTTGTTGGCATTGAGTCTGACACTTTATCTTGCATTCTTCTCTTTCATCTTTCCGCGAATCTTTGCTACTATTTGACATTTTCATTCTGCAGTCTATCCGATGCTTCAAACTTTGTTCTGGTGTTCTATCTGGCAATCATCGTAATACCTAGCAAAATATTTGACATAAAAATAAACTGACGTTTTAATTCTGACATGGCCTTCTATGTGAAATATGTTTAACATTTTATTGGGCACTTATTTTATTGGGAATATGAACTGACACTTTTTGGTGTTCAGCGATTCTATCCTGAAACAATTTTATCTGGCATTCCATCTGGTACCTAAATCTGTTATACCATATTCCACCTGCAATTACTTTGACATGTTCTCTGGCATCTCATGTGCGCATTCCCCCTGGCATTTCAGCTGGCTATTTCTTTCACATCTTCTCCTGCATTCTAGCTGGTACTGCTAAATATTATCGAAGGAAGTTTAGAAGTCAAACTTCCGACAATATGGACAGATGAAAAGCAGAGCAGGGAAGAGGCAGAGAGAAGAGAAAAATTAGAAGAAAGAAGAGTAGAAGAGAAAGAGTAAGAAGAAAGAAGATGCAGATGCGAGAAAAGGTACGAAAGTCGCGAAACACTGCGTTTTTCCAATGATTTGGGGCTCCGGAGGGTCGAAAAGTAGGCTCGCTAAAGCAGCGGGTGCGGAGCCAGCTGGCCAGATGAGAGATGAAAAATTGCACGCCGTTGTGGCGCGAAGCACATTTGCAAGTCAAAATGTGCAAAACGTTTTCTCGTCCTGTTTTTTTGGCCGTTGCTTCTTCTTCTTCTTCTTGATCACCCGAGCTGCACCACACCAGGATCCTCCCACTGCGAAAGGCCAAACGCCAAATGGCAGCGCAAACATATTGATTAAGATTGAGATGCGCGAATATGTTTTGCAACATATTCATGCACAGTTTCTGTCATTTTTAAAGAATTTTAAAGATTTTTTGATCACATTTCTTCCACTTTTTTCCCCTTTTTTCCCTTTTGTGACTATTAGGATCTTTTCGGGAACAAAGAGGATACAAAGCGGATACAAAGATGACAAAAAAGTGTAAAAAAATGCAAAAAAAAAAGTGCAAAAAAGTGCAAAACCGGCCGCTGGACCCAGCCATTGTTTTTTTATGTGAAAGTTTCCGACCTGTCAGGGTAACATGTCACCTGTCCCGCCATCCTTCTCCGCCTCCGCCCTGTCCGCCGGACCTCAACTGCAAGCGCTAGATCGCAGTGTTCGCCGCCAGACCTGAACAGCAAGCACAGGATCAGAGTGTTCCCCGCCGGACCTCAACTGCAAGCGCTGGATCGCAGTGATCTCCGCCGGACCCCCACCGCAAGCTCAGGATCAGATTGATCCCCGCCGGACCTCCACCACAAGCTCAGGATCAGATTGTTCCCCGCTGGACTCGAACAGCAAGCTCAGGATCAGAGTGATCCTCGCCGGACCTCAACTGCAAGCGCTAGATCGCAGTGTTCGCCGCCAGACCCGAACAGCAAGCACAGGATCAGAGGAGTGATCCCCGCCGGACCTCAACTGCAAGCGCTAGATCGCAGTGTTCGCCGCCAGACCCGAACAGCAAGCACAGGATCAGAGGAGTGATCCCCGCCGGACCTCAACTGCAAGCGCTGGCTGGATCGCAGTGTTCTCCGCCGGACCTCCACCGCAATTTCAGGATCAGAGCGTTCCCCGCGGACCTCCACCGCGAGCTCCTCAGAGTTCCCCACCGGACCTCAACCACAAAGAACATCCGATATACCAGCCAGAAAGAATGTCAGAAGATATACCAGAGACATATGCCAGAAAGAATGTCAAAATTCTGCCAGAATGAACGCCTGAAAAGATGCCAGATAGATAGATAGAATGTCAGAATAGATCACAGATAGAATGCCTGAAAGAATGCCAAAATAAATACCATGCAGGAAGTATGTCAGTATAGACGCCAGATAGAATGTCAGATAGAATGTCAAAGGACATGAAAGAATGCCAGGTATTGTCAGAAAGAATGAATGCCCGGAGAAAATGCCATATATATTTCGAGATGGTATATTCCCGATGTGCTTCACCTGGCGCCAGAACCAACCAACGCGGCAGGGAACTCACAATCCGACAATAATGTTAAAAGCAACCTCATTTTAGTGTTGAGAGTTGAGAAGTCAGCTTAAAAAATGTTTTAGTAATTATTTATTTTTATGATTTTTTATGGTTTTTTAAATGATTTTGATTTATGAATTGGAAAAAACGTTTTTTGAATTTATGTTTTTTAATGATTTTTTATGATTTTTTACGATAATTTTATGATTTTTTTATTCTTCGTTTAATGAATTTTTAATGATTTTTTTATGACTTTTTTTCCGCCCACGTCGCCCTAATAAAACCATTGAAAAAATCATAAAATTTTCATTTAAAAAAAACATAAAAATTTCATTTAAAAAAAAACATAAAATTTTCATAAATTTTATGATGTTTTATGATTTTTTTATGATTCATTAAAAAAACGTAAAATTTTCATAAAGTTTATGATTTTTTATGATTTTTTGATTTTTTAATGAAAAAAATATGATTTTTTAAGAAAATTTTATGATTTTTTAAGAAAATTTTATGATTTTTTATGAAAATTTTATGATTTTTTAAATGATTTTTTTATGATTTTTTTAGGGCGACGTGGGCGGAGAAAAAATCATTAAAAAAATCATAAAATGAGCCATAAAAAAATCATAAAATAATCATAAAATTTTCATAAAATCAAAAAGCATTTTTTCCAATTCATAAATCAAAATCATAAAAAAAAAACATAAAAAAATATCATTAAAAAAAATAAATTAAAATTTGATTTTTTATGCTTTCCCCCAACTCTCAATTTTAGTGGAAGATGTAGGTTTTTTGCCTTTCAGCTCAAAGCTGTCAATCCGAAATTTGCCATTCAGGTACATCAGGTTCTAAAGCTTGTTAACATGAGAATTGAATTCTGTCATGCCCAAAAGATCTACCCAGGAAACCACGGCTGCACAAGAAATTTACCACAAATCCTCCTCTTTAACACCTGTTCCACACCTCACATGGTAGACAGACCAATTTACAAAACCTTACTAAACTAAACCCCCCTGATCTGATCCCCGATTTCGGGTTGGGGATTCAATCAGATAGATGAGTTGGATTGAGTTGGATGATCGGCGCCCTGTCCAGGACTTGACTGAGCTGACCGAACTCTCCGACTTGTCAACAACCTCGGAGGCGACTCACTGGCAGTGCCGTGCCTCACATGGTCGATAGAGATACACGAGTGTGTAGGGCCTTGTAGGGTGTCGGTCACAAATAAGAACCTGCTCTTGCACGCGTACTGAAGCAGTCGAAAGATTCCGCATGGACATTGTCGCTTTCACTTTCGATTTGTGGAGCCAGGAAGATCCTATTGATGTGGTTGACATGGAGGAGCTGTTTAGTTGCTCTGCTCTCCTCAAGGGACGAATGTGTTTTGCCCATTTGAACGCAAGGAGATTGCAGAGAACAAGAATCCTACTGCAAAATGCCACTTGACTAGAGTGGCTTTGTGGAGCCTGGAAAGACTTGAAAATGACATCGTGCAACTTCTCGAATGGTGCCTCTGAAGTTTCTCTATATCCTGCAGTATGAGGGCTTGTTGATCTGAAATGATTCGAGCATATAGTCAGATGCTGATGTCAGAACGACAATGCTTTACTAAGACAAATGAAACACACCTGTTTCAAACGCAATATTTTTCTCGAAGGGTGGGCGGGGTTTTGCCTCGCTTTGTGTCATCATTTGGTGCCATGGGGACAGGCCACAGGGGCCTCCACGACTGCAGTGGGACGCATGTACAACCATTAGACATCCTTGCTGTCCTTGTGGCCAGGAACCGAGAGCTTCCTACAGGTGAGTCGGTCCTCCCTGGCGGCGAATCTGTGCCTGTGGCCGCAGTACCTCCGGTGCTAGCTCCGGCTCGGGCAAAGGGGCCGGCAAAGCCCTGATCGAGCCGTTGACTTGTGGACACCGGTGCTGTTTTTGGGAGCAAGCCTGCACCAGGAGCGAGGGGCACAGCCATCACAGTTGCTGGAACTGCCGCCACAAAACACAATGAGGCAACGTTGGAAAAAGAAGCATGTTGACAACCTTCCATCAAGGGAGGTTCATTGCGAGCCATCAGGTGTCCCGGTGGGGGATAGTGTTGATCCTGCGCTGGATGTGGATGCAGATATTGGTTTTGAAGATTTCTGTTTCAAACTATGCATAGTGAAGGCTTCTATGCTTGCTGGTTGCAAGGCATCTCCGGTAATGCAGAGCTGCCAATATGGGATTTGAGGATCATGTGGTGGATGAGACTGCACCTGTTGGTGAGAACGTGCAGAAGAAACCCAAGTTGAACTTTGTAGATGCTGCAGCTTCAAGCATGGGAACTGACACTCGTGACTTCTATCCAGTCAGCTCAGGCTTGCCTTCTGATCTGGTTCGAGATGCGATCCGATTTACGGACAGCAAGCAAGTTCTTTTCCCTTCAGAGAAAGGCAGGCTTAAAGCTATCATTGGTGAGAGGCCATTGGTTGAGTCCTTGGTGCCCAAGGCGAAAACAAGCTCAAACAATTTTGTGCAGATGAACATTGCTGTTGGTGAAGGGCCTTCATTGCGTGCGGCCATTGAGGTCGAACGCAAGACCAGTGACAAGGCACTATACATGAGCGTGGTCAAGAGCTTCGGGGGAGGTTCTTACAGTCAGGAGCGTGACATCAGGCGGTCATCAGCTGTCAAGCTTTGGTGGGAGCTGTTGAAAGCCCATCCAGATTCATGTGATCCTGGACGTGCGACGATGGCTGAGGCGTCACTGGGCATGGAGGACAGCTACGGCATGGGGGTCCTTAGTGGTTGTTTTGCGCTCAAGAGCTCAAACCCGCTTCTGAAGCGCTATTTCTCACTCAAGAGCTACAGTGAATGGTTGTGAGGACGAGGATTGGCTGACTGGCTGCCTTTGGTGGAGCAGCATGTTTGGAGATGCCTGCAATACTTGCGAGTGTCAGCAGCGCCGCCAACCAAGGGATGCAGCTTTGTGGAAGCGGTCAGTTTTGGTCACTTTGTGCTCCACATCGACGGATCTAGAGGCATTCTTTTCCCTTGGCCACATCTGAAGTCGTGCGCATGCATGGTCGCTATATAACCGCGTCATAGTCGGCCATCTGCTTCACATGATCTACTCAAGGTCAAGATGGAGTGATCTCTTGGCGGTGTGCAACGTCTATCTTGATGAGAGCTCAACTTATCTGGAAGCCATGGCTTTCGCTCACAAGGACATCAAGAGTTCAGATAAGAAGACGCGCCTACTTCCAATTGTTGCTCCAGAGGTTGGCGTCGTCGGCAAGTGCTGGGCCGAAGAATTCCTGGAGCTGCGTGGGTTGGCAGGACTTACGTGCCCTGGTGACAAGTCAGAGTTCATGCTGCCAGCGCCGAGCCAAGCTGGATCTGATGATTGGACATCTCGATATCTGACATCACAGGAGGCAAACATGTTCATCAAAGCCTTCCTTCCTGATTCTGCAAGGCAACTTGGCGGTCGACGTCTTACGACCCATTCAACAAAGGCAACTGCCCTCAGCTGGGCGGCAAAGTGTGAAATCAGTGGTGGAGATGGGGGCCACTGCACTTTACTCGCGGGACATTGCTTCAGCTGCCCTGAGAAAGTTCCAAAAAGTCATTGCCCTGATTCGCGACGAGGCACTTCGCCACGATGCAAATCGTTCTGGCATGGTGACTCCAAGACCTCCTCCTATACTCCCACGGCCGGGCTTGTGACTCCAGTGGCAAGAGTTGCTCCTGTTGGAAGCGGGTTGCCAACAACCCCTGGTGAGGGGGGAGTTGGGATGGCAACACGTTGGAAAGTATTCTCCTGGCTCACCATACCAAGGTGCTGCGCGCTCTGACACAAAGTCAGAAGCGGGCGGGGCGTGGACTTGGTCGAAGAAATGGGCTGCTGCGATGGTCTGACTCGAGTAGCTCTAGTGAAGCTCGGGCTCTGAAGGCAGCCTTGATGAAGAGGAAGCGCCTGAAGCACAACCTGTGCGTCTTGTAGCGCCACATGCTCCTGAAGTTTTTTTTCTGTGTCTCATCTTTGGTGATTCACAAGACCAAAGATGCTGCAACATTTTGTTGCAGGCGTGTAATGGGTAGCAGCTACGAACGAGCACATGAGCCATGTGGGCTCAAGTGCAGCCGATGCTTCCCTTGACTGTGCACACGATTTTGAGGGTGATAAAAGTGCGGGTGAGCAGTTGCAATGGCGACTTGAAGTGGTCATGGTGGTGATCAAGGCATGTGAATGCACATGTCATGTGGTTAGTCGATGGATCAACATTTAAAAAAAGATTGGTCCATGGGTTCATTTTTTGAACAATGGTGCGCACCCACACTTCAATTCTTTGCTTGGATTTTTTATTTATATATATATGTGTGAATATCGTCCCGCGCTCTTGCATTTCCCATCTTCCTATTCTGAATATACACTGGGAACGTTCTTTAAATGCAGTGATCATGCAGCAAGTGAATCAAGCAGCTTGCTTTGTTTTTGAGAAGTGGTTCAAGGATGACGAGCCAGTTAGACAGCAAGCCACGCCTCAGGGCTAGCGCCAAGGAATACAACCTTAGCGATGCTTTCATCCAGTTGTTGATTGACAAGGGCATTTCCACTTTCGGTCAGCTGGCCTTCGCCGTCTTTCGGCCGGGCGCAGATGAAGCAGAATTCAACGCTTGGGCAGCTAGGGTGAACGATGGAAATGCTCCTGCTCTAGGTGAACTAGCCTCTCTGCGCCGTTTGCACTTCGAGTCTGAAATAGTTGCCACAGCAGTGTTGCGTGCTTCAGTAGAGACGGCAGACCAGCAGACTCCAAAGCCTCTGCCTGTCGCTGAGCGGGCAGCGAGGCTGATGGAGTTGAAGAACAGACTGCAGGGTCTCAACATTCAAGGCTCTGGGGAGCCAAGCCACAGTCTGTTAGACGAGACTTGTTTCCAGTACGAGTCTTGGGTCCTTTGCTATGTCGAGCCAGCAAAGCGCAACTCCAGAGAATCTGAAATAGCTTCAGGCAAGACCAGCAAAACCTTAAAATTGGACTCAAACACCTTGACAGTCAAAGCGCAGAAGAGCATCCCGGACGAGACCGTGTCCACTACTTTTCATCTTGCCCAGTGCCCCAGGCGACGTGGACTTCGCGGGGCTGATGAGTTTTCAATCGCACGAGAAGTACGTGGAAAGACTTCTACGACACCTTTCAGTGGAAGCGCCGCCCGGTTTCCACTCAACCACACTGAGTCAAGTACTTCGAGCGAACCGGGAAATGTCAAACTTGGAGGACATCAGGCCAGTCTTGAATGTTAAACCTTTAGACGGAAAGTTGACAGAAGCCTTGCGAGACTACAATACGGTGTTCCATCTTCTGCCTTTGCCCAAGAGTGTTGCAAGGGACGAACCTTACATCCAACGAACCGCTCACTCTGTTGCCAGTGAAAGTTCTGCTCCGTATCGTCCCGAAGGCAAGTCAAAGGGCAAAGGCAAGTCAAAGGCAACTGGCTCCAACTCAGCTCCGCAAGGCATGGTTGGGTGCGCTGGCAGAGATGGAAAGAATCGCCCAGCTTGCTTCAATTACAATTTGTCCGCTTGCGACAAAGCACCTGGAGGGGGAACCTGTCCAAAATGCAGGCATGTTTGCCTCAAGGCTAGATGTTTCCGTGTCCATCAATACAAAGAGGCTCATGCTTCAGAGATGCCTACTCCCAAGCCTGCTGAAAGGCATCAGCTCCCACAAGTGAGAAGGATTTCACCCAAGCCGTTTTCTTGGATTTTTTGGGTGGAACTGCGGGGTTGAGTGCTGCTTTCAAGAAGAGAGGCTTCTCCAACTGCGTTTCCATCGACAAGCATGTCCCTAAGCTTCTGAAGGCAACAGTGACAAAGCTGGATATTATGACAAGAGGCAATCAGCTGCTTGTGCTGGATTGGATCAAGTCTCCTCAAGTGGAGGCAGTCGTTTTAGCACCACATTGCGGATGGCAAGTATGGCGCGAAACATAGAGATAGTTGATGAGCCGGACGCACCAGCGCCCCTTAGGTCTCACCTTCAACCTGATTGTTTGGACAATCCGACTGCTGCTGATTTCGTACGTGTGGAACAATCTAACATTTTATATTCCTTTGTGGCTGAATGTTTTTATGACCTTTGCACCCAACTATACAGAACCGTGCGTGGTCGAGAACCCTGCTAACTCTTTGTTCTGGGAGACTAAATGTGGTGCGAAAGGATATACACTGAGCATGGCCACACACAGCTGCATCAGGCATGCGCCTACGGTTCGCTGAGGCCTCAGTGGACAAGGTTGACAGCTAATTTCCCAGAAGTATCGTCAATCAATGGTGTTTGTCCTGGAAGTCACCGCCACGCTGCGTGGGGTTTAGTCTGGCATGGCAACAAACGGCGTTTTGTAACAGCACTCGAAGTGCATTATCCTGCCAATTTGCGCAATGCAATTTGTGAAGCTTTTGTTATGCACTTGTTCAAGCGTGGTATTTCGCCCCCACCTGCTCTGCCTCCAAATGCTACAGCTAAGATTTTCTCCGGCGCTGCCTCCACCTCTGCAAAGGTGCAAGCGATGATTCCGGAATACAAGTCTTTTGTCGCAGTAGCTTTTGATGAAAACCATTCCATGATCTGGCCACGCTTGATTTTCAGGAGTTTCGTCTTCTGCACACTTTTTCTGCTTGGGCGTGAGCAAACAAGCGAAACAAATAAGAATGGGATGTCATCAAGTTCATCAAATCTGGATGAGTTCAACTGCGTTCTGAAGCCATGGAAAGTGCAGCAGCAGATAGATAGACAGCTTGAATGTGCAGGGGCCAATGGTTTTGACAAAAAAAAATGGAGTTTATTGGATTGAACAAGAGTTTGGCAACAAAGCCATGGAAGCAGTGCACCCGCTGGCGCCAGAGCTCGCCATTCCTGAGGTCTTGTTGGAAGAAATCAAATTTCAGGCGAGTTCAAATGACTCTGCAGTGGCAGGGGCTAGAGTCAGCTTCTTCAAGAAGTGGACTGCACGAGCCAGAGAGCTGGAGCAACAGGAAAAAGAGCTCAAGGCGACCATGGATGAGTTTGTTGCAAAAGCGACTGCAAACAAGCGTCTGCTGCTTTTTGAAGAAATGCTGGAGTTTTATGGATATCCCGACATGGGGGTTTGTGATGAGCTCAAGCAAGGCTCGACACTGGCAGGTGACATTGACATTCAGATGACAGGAATGCTACCGTGTAAGTTCTTGCCAGCCTTGTGTACCTCAGAAGAACTTTTGCATAAAGCTGCGCTTATTAGAAAGACCATCATGTCTGAAGATGGCTCCTCTGGCGATGCAATGATAGATGATACGGCTTGGAGCAACACGCTAGAAGAAGTTGACCGTGGTTGGTTGGTCGGTCCACTGTCTGATGAGCAAGTGGACGAGCACATGCCGATCTCAAGGAGGTTCGGCTCAATACAGAAGAGAGACAAGGTCGCGTTGATTGATGATTTCTCAGGATCTGGTGTCAATGGATGTGTAGGTGCTACAGAAAGTCCAGTGTTGCATACAGTGGATGTCGCTTGCTCGGCATTACAGCTGTGGTTGGACGCTTGTGATACGCAAAGTTCACCTTCAGGTTATCGTTAATTGGGCCTCAATCATGACGGCAGGAGGTTTGCGCACATGAGAGTGTACGATCCGCATGACAAGAAGATGAAGCTTTTTCAAGCAACTGTGCTACATTTTGGTGCTGTGAGGAGTGCGCATTCGTTTTTGAGGTGTGCCCGGGCCATTTGGTGGCTAGGAGTCGTTGCTTGCAAGCTTTTTTGGACCTCGTTCTACGACGATTACATTGCTTTGATCTCACGGTCGTCGCACTTATCAAATTGCCTGGATGGATTTTCGCCGAGGAGGGTGACAAGTGCGTGCCTTTTGGGGACAGCTGTGAAGCGTTGGGCTTGGTCTTCAATTTGGGGCTCTCAGCAAAGGCTCCATATTTACTTCAGACACGGAGTCCAGAGTTTCTGAGCTGTGCACTGAGCTGGACAAAGTGTTGGAAGAGTAATACTTGCGCTCAAAGACGGCACAGCACCTCTGTGGGCGGATGCAATTTGCAGATTCTCAGATCTTTGGCAAGACAAGCAAGAGGTGCATGCGTATTTTAGCAGATTTCAGCGAAGGTAGAAGAGCGAGACTACAGCCCAAGGACTGTTTTCCTGAAGTTGTTCAGAAACTTGTTGATGTTTGGCAAACCGCGAGAGATAATTTTTTCTCGACGTGGAAACGCGCTGATTTTCACGGACGCTTGCTATGAACGAGAGGGCGATGTGTGGCCTTGCGGCATAGGTGGTGTGTTTTATGTGCCGGACGGACGTACGGCATTTTTCTCCCTGCCTTTGGATGAAATAGTGAGACTTTGGCTTGGCGAACGGCAGAAGAAATAGATCATTTTCGAAGCTGAGACTTTGGCTGTGCCGGTGGCGCTACAGACTTGGATGGTTGATTTGTTAACATGGAAATGCAGTCTTTTTGTAGACAGTGAAGGTTGCAAATTTGCTGTGATGAAAGGCTTATCAAACAATCCGACTGTTGATTGTTTGGCCGAACTTTTTGTAGAGGCAGAGGCGGAATGTAGGGTACCAATTTGGCTGGCGAGAGCATCATCAAAAAGCAATACCGTTGACCACCCTTCGAGGCTTGACAGCCAAGCTGAAAGAAAACAATTTCGTTGATCACAGTGATCGTGCTGCAGTGGTCCTGGAAGCTGTTGCACACAAACTTGAAGTGGGGAGACGAACGTGAGCAACAGCCATTCTGGAAAAAGGAAGATTGCATTGCTCTTTGCCTTGCGTGGTTTGATGAGTAAGATGATGTCAGAATGACAATGCTTTACGAAGACACATGAAACACACCTGTTTCAAAGGCAATATTTTTCTCAAAGGGTGGGCTGGCGGGTTTCGCCTCGCCTTGTCTCATCATGTGGCCCACCGTCCATCCCCATCACCGCTTCACAATTTCACCCCAGGAGGCCAAACCCCAAGCCAGACGAAAGTAAGCAACAGCCATTCTGGAAAACGGAAGATTGCATTGCTTTTTGCCTTGAAGGGTTTGATGAGTAAAATGTCATTTAGTTAATGTAGTTGATCCATGTTGATCTTTTCCCATGTGCTCCAAAGTCTCCAAAGTGCGCGTGGCAGCAGCCACACAGCGCTGCGCACAGCGAGGTGATGACTGCATTTTCCGCTTGGGCCTGGGCTTCGAGGGTTTGCTGGCATGGCACCTGAACGGTGACCTGGCAGAGTCTCTACAGATGTCTACTGGGTCTACAGACAGTCTATGCAGAATCTATGCAAACACCATGCAAACGCTATGCAAACGAGCAGAAACGTATATAGGTCGCAAACTTTGAGTTTGAGCATATGCCCATTCACGTCTGGGCATTCATCCTGTGACTTTGGTAAAAAAATACCATATGCAAAAGAGTTCCAGGATTGGCTTGGTGCTATCAATCAACATGACTGAAACGGTCAGTCCTGTTATTTTTTGCATTTCGTTTGCACGGCTGGGGTTAAACACGGCTCAGCCCAGACGTCATAGCAGCACTTTGTTCGATGGACGATTGCAGCGAAGACTGCCACTCCGCTCAATGGATGTCTGTTGTGGTCCTAATGATGGTTGTGACAGCAGTTTCATTTGTGGTAGTTATTGATGCTGCTTGTGAGGGCATTGATTTGTTGTGATGGAGTGCTATTGCGGCCTATTCAGATTGAAGCATTTGAAGTGCAGATGCTTTTCAAAGGTAAGGGAGAATGGGAAGGCGTGACCATTGGCTGCTCGAAGGACAGCACTTGCTTAGGCTGCGAATTGCGCATGCAGTTACAGGGTTCTGGGGGCTGCGTTCATAGTTTTGCTTTCCTGTTTGCAGTCATAATCATGGTGACAATAGGGAAACGTTACAAAGAGGGTAGCGATAGGCAACTGTTCCAGGACCCAACCTTCTACTACAACATGAAGAAAGGCATTGTGGTGTCTTGGCTCAATTTGCTCAATTGGAAGCCTCTTTGTAATTTATCTATGCCTTGAAATCATGACCAAGAGTTCATAGACCTGGCAGAAGCACATTTACCGTGTTTGTGAAGACACTCCGGCTTTGCACACGTTTGAACAAAGACTTTTGTCTAGCTTCCAATGAAGTTTCACAGGAGGAGGGGGAGGGGGAGAGAGAGGGAGAAAAAGAGGGGAGAGGTAACCGCCTCGTGTGTGCACGGGATTTGGCCCTTCATTCATCCAGATCATCATGATCATAATCATGATCATGATCATCATCATCATCATGATGATCATCATCATCATCATCATGATCAGCAACACCATCATGATCAACATGGTCATCAAGGTCATTTTCATCACTAACATTATCATCCTGATCATCAACATTACCATCATCAAAACCATCAACATCAGCAGCATCATCGACATTGTCATCACCAACATAATCATGATCATAACCACCATCAGGATCAACGTGGTCATCGACATCAACGTGGCCATCAACATCAACATGATCATCAACATTGCCATGGTCATCATGATTTTCATCGCCATTCGCATCAGCGAATTCAACAAAATCATCAGGATGATCGTGATGATCATAACAGCCATCAACATCATCACGCGCATCAACATCCCTTTGGTTTCTTGTGGTACCTTCACGGTCTAATGCGTTCTCTTGTTTCATGTGCGTAGGGTGCAATCACTTCGACCTCGTGCTTTTGCGGAATGCAAGTGCCGTTCTTTTTTCAGGTTCGAAGCGGCTGAGACATGAAAACGTTCTGTGGAACATCTATGCAGAGATATGTTTTGAATTTGCTAGAGAAAGGTTTCATAACCAGGATATGTTGAAAGATATTTTCCTTCTAAAAGACCATGTGTCTAAAGGCTTCTCTGTGTAACAAAAGCTTCTCCATGTAATGACGTGTCTTTGTGAGAACTTGTCTGCGTAAAAACGTCTGTGTATAAACCCTTCTGTGTTGGAGAGCCTGTGTGCAGAAGCATCTTGTTGTACATGTTTCTCTGTGGACTGTGTCTCTGTGGAAAAACGTCTTTGTAAAGAAGCAGCTCTGTGTACAAGCTCCCGTTGCCCTCTGTTCCCCTGTTCCCCCCCGGTTCCCCTGTTCCCATGTCCCCCCCTGTCTCACCCCCCCGTGCCCCTAATTTTTTATAATTTATACACCTAAAGGTTGGTTTGTCTTATCTGACCTTCCCCTCCTCCTCCCGTTCCCCCATGTTCCCCCTGTTCCCCCCTGTTCCCCTAATTATATGCCCTTCCCCTTGTCCTCCCCTGTTCGACTGTTCCCCCTTGTTCCCCCCTGTTCCCCTGCTCCCCTAATTTTTACACCCAAAGGTTAGAGTATCATTATCATACATGCTATCCTGTGCGCAGGTGAGTCTGTTTCCTGTGCGTGTGAGTCTCGCTTCCTGTGCCCAGATGAGTCTGGGATCCAGTGCGCAGGTGAGTCACCTTCATGTGCGCAGGGAGGGGAGAGAGGAGGGGAGAGAGAAGAGGAGAGACAAAGGAACCGCTGGAGATGGCAGGGAAAGATTTTGGCAAGATTGAGAAGGATTTTAAATGGTTTTATGCTTATGCGATTAGAACCGTCACAGAAGAATTGGATGCGAGAAGAGTTCGGTTGGCCGGACACATATTGTGGGCACCTAGTGATGACCCCTTAGACTCTTAGACGAGTTACGTATCAACCTGACAGCGCTGAGCCCGTCCATATCGGTAAACGTAGAATTGGCCGACCACGACAAAATTGGGTTTATAGATCGTATGAAAACATACATTGCGGATTCAGCCACGCTTAATATGATGGAAGCCCTACCCAAAATGTTGCCATTTTGAGCGCGGCGCAAAACCGAACAATATAGTCTAAGAGCCAAGCGCCCAAACATTTGACTTTTGGTGCTGATGACCTCGGCACGAGATGCATGGCAAGAAAAAAGAAGAAATGTGAACA